ACAATGTAACTCATTTCACATGCAGTCTCTGCAGATGAGGCAAATTCTGGGCAGGCAGGATTTCCAGTTCAGCCCACAAATAACAACTGATCAGCCATCTGCCAAAGCAGCTAGCCGCAGTCCTGCTAGCATTACTGTGGGGTCTGGCTCCTTGGCATGAAGTGGACTGACTATATGAATGTGGGGAGGAAAAAGGGTCAAAGAACAATGTGAGCTCTTTGCAAGATTGTTTATGTTTTCTAATGTTGCATAAACACATAATCCCAGTTGTTCATTCTCACTACTGGATGACAAAATGGTGTATTTTACCTGATATAACAGTGGAAAATATAAATAGCTTTCTAGCAACCAGGCTTTATTAATATGTATTGGAAACCTAAAATGGTATTCAGCTATGAGGGGGAAAAAGTACAGAATTGCTTTGAATTATAATAATTTCAGCAAAGCATCTAATTTATATGTTAAGCTTGCTTAATGGACTTATATTGCCTTGCTCTTTGATCTGAAGAAAAAGGTGGTGAATAATTTATCAAATAAAAAATCTCTCCTAGCCCAGCCCACACGTCACAATCTGCCCTATAATTTACATTTTTTAAGAGATGCCGTTTCCAGGCAGGAGAACTGGTTCCTAAAGATTCCTTCTAATATTACAAATGTATTTTTGTGAGGTACACTCTGGGGAAAAAATAATAAGGAAGGAATGCAATTCTGCAGACAAATGTTTCAGCTCTATGCCTTCTTCACTAAAGACAGTCATTTCAACTAAATGCCAAAAGGCATTTAGCTGTAGCATTTGTCAGTGGAACAGGGTTGGCTTTAGGTTTCCCTCCTGATTTACAATTGAGTGTTTATTGGGTTTACTGTACTGTAGCATGTTTTGTTAACCTCTAAAAACATATCCAGCTTGTGCATTAATCACAGGGATGATATCTGTCATGGTAAACTGAGTTGGTGTGGGGCTTTTCTGCTCTGCCAGACTTCATGGGAAGGATGCTGGCTGCCCCCGGTGGGCAGGAAAGATGCGCTGGCGGCGTAGGGCTGGGGTAACCTGTGTCCAGCTCCTGGCTCCTGAGATGCTTTCTTGTCAGGTGCATAATTGATTTCTCCATGTCTTTATTTTTCAACCAGAAAAGAGGGGAAAAACTGTGTCGTGTCAGGTCACAGTAGCTGGGTGAGCTGCCATAGAGTCACATGCCTAAGGAGGATTTAGGTTGGTGTGGTGGTGTTTAAAGCTTCATTATTGGAAACTTTGTGCCTGGAGTTCCTCAATTGGTTTGTGTCTACCTATTGCAGTTATTCCTTGGGAATCCCTCCTTCTGGTCACATGTAGGTAACAGCAGTGCAGGTAATCACAGCTCTATCATGACTCCTGACATGTCTCCCATTCACATTTCCCCCCCCGCCCTTTGTCCAAAGCAGGGAGTTGTCAAACATTTACTATGGCTGTGCACAGGGTTTATTCATATTTAAATAAAGCCATTATCCTGGCCTTGAGTTTCAGTAGTTTTCTGCTCTTTCTCTTGAGTATTTCTCTCAGTAGTGCCATCTAATCAGCTTTAGGTTTTAATTAAACAGCTGTCATTTGCTTCCTAGTTCTGTTGCGACCTGATGTTGTATTAAATTTTAATTTAGCCTAGGCTGGATAAGAAGTAGATTCCTTCAGACAACAAAGAAACACTATTAGCAGGTTACAGTTGTAATTAAGAAGAGCCCTGCTGAAGTGCTAATGCATTCAGGTACAGAGAAGGAGTTGGAGATAAACACGTAATTATTATTCAGGGATAGAGCCTGCAATATGAATGTGTAGCTTCCACCCAGGCTGCTTGAATTGGAGGTTTTGGTCAAGATCTGGCAGCCAAAACCCTCAACAAAATAAATAGGAAGAGATTCCCAGTTTTTTACCTGGGACTTTGTAGTGTCAGGAGTTGCAGGTTTGTGCTGGTGGTCTCTATGTGTTGTTCCAGATGTTTTACTGATGCTGTGCCATGCGGGAGGACCTACCCATGTAAATCAACATTATTACCCTTCTCTTCTCTACATATCAGATGCTGTTAGTGATAACCAGCACAGGTGTCTTAAATTCAATAACACTTTTTTTCTGCAGTAAACCCTACCATGGAAATAGAACCCAAACCTAACAGAATTTAGATGAAATGCTATTACTTGTTGAAGATGCACTGAAAAAAAAAAAAAAAAAAGTCTGTTTATAAATCTAATGGACAGTCAATTAGTTCAGTTCTGCCTTCATATTTCTTCCTCAGAAGAAATGTATTTTTTCAGTCTATAAATAGCCAGCTCTTAAAAAGGTCTTTACACAGCCTATTATACTTGTGTAACACTTGATCCAGGCATCAGGCATCTGAAATATTGATTTATATGGTAGAATTACTTACCAGTGAAGTATAGCTTTTTTGAAGCAGCACTAGCTAATTAGCACAGTGGGTACCTGTACACGCTGGGAAGGAGGCACTGTTCAGGACAGTGCTTGTGTAATGTATTTCAGAGCACCCACAAATAGTGGGTTTGCTAGGCGTCGCTTTTAAGATCTTTTCTCTCATGCTCATCTTCACAGTGAGTTTACAAAAGGAATGCAAATGTCTTTATAAACTTTGCATTATCCTTCAGAGCATCAAAGTCTGACTTCAGCTTGGTAGCTAAGCAGCACCTAGAGTTAAAAGGAGGCTTAGAGGTTTTGTTTATCCTTTGTCGCAGGAGGGTCAACATGAGAGTGTTACAAGGAATGGGACAAAAAACAAAGAAGAAATTAGTTCAGGCTCATTGAAACCTGGTTCCAAGTCCACTGAAGTCAAAAGAAGCCTTTCATCTGTGACTCAGTAGGGCTTTGGATCAGACTGTAATTGCATACAACTGCTGCCTGCCCCTGACATGTCAGGGTTACATAGCTGTGCTAACAGAGAGTGGGTTTGGAAGTAAAACTGGTCGCATGTTTGTTGTTTGTGACCTTGGCAAAACCAGTTTCCCCTGATGCACTGAAGAAGACAGTCTGTTGTTAAATGGCGTAGAAATAGCATACTGGCAAATGGCTTCTTGGGAGAGTTTTGACACAGGACCACCATGTCTTCATCATATATCTGGCATATGTCTATATTGGATTGATGGCTTAGGATTTATGGGATATTTGCTGCTGGTTTAGGGAAAGCTACCTCTACTTGGACATACTTGTGGATGAAGCACCCTCAGTTTCTCTTTGTCTGTCTTACGCTTCTTTATGCCTGAGGTGCATCTAATTGTTTTCTTTCACCTGGCAGTGAATTTTCTTAGATTTGTTCAAATCTCAGTCTTTGTAAAGGTTTTGCAGTTGTTCTTTCACACTTTGACTTTTGTCACATACTTCTCTCTTTCCCAGTGTCCCTCCCTCATGGATGGCAGCTGGTTATAAATGAGCCCATTCAGCATAAACAAAAACTAGACAGTCATTTACTGTGTAAAACATCTGGTTTGCGCCTTGCAGAGAACACAACAAAGACAGTATATTTATTTCATGATGTATTATTCAGAAAACCATCTCTATTCAGGACAGCACTTAAATGCTTAAATCAAATTGAAGTCTAAGTGTCAAGTTGAGCACGTACTTTTAGTGCTGTTCTGAACAGAAATGGACTCAAGTACATGCTTAAATGCTTTTCTGGAACATGACTGCCCATAAAGCTCTAGTAGACTATATTAGTTAGCTGGCACTAGTGTTATTAGTACTTCAACTCATTTAATTCCGGGTGCTTTTTGTAGAAGTTTCTGAATATTGATTAATAATACATCTTAGTTGCAAGTATTTATTGGTCTTCTCCAGCTTTCCTTAGCTTGTGGTCAATGCCCATTATTTTCTATCAATCTAGCTAGCAGACAGAAGCAAATGATAGTGAATATATCTCCCTATGCAAGCTGCCATCAAATTTTTCACTAAAATCCATTTCTTCTTCCACCAATTCTAATAATGGAATTTAAAGTTAGATTAGTTTGAAGCAACTTTTTTTTTTTTTCGTCCAACTGGCAAGCAATTAGTTTTATTGAAGTTGAAAAATGAAAAGCAGATTGATTCAAAGCAGTATTTCCTATTGCAGGCTTTTCGAGAAGGCCGAACTGAATCTCTATGAAAGCACAGATCATTCCTTGCCCCGCTTGTGTGTCAAGTTTTGGGCCCGCAGTAAGAGCTGCTAAAGCCGAGATGAGCGGCTCTGTAGGCCTTTGGAGGCTGTTCCCCTCCAGTCTGCAAACCTGCTTACGCAAGGCAGGGACCTCTGTAGCAACTCATTTGAAGTAATCAGTCAAACTGCAGCCATACTGAGACACAGAGGAAGGCTGTGTTAATGGAGTCATTAGAGTGCCAGCACTGTGAATTCATCAGGAATAGAGATAAATGTGGTAAAGCATCTGTAGGTGGGATTTTGATGGGGAAATATTTAAAAAATTATGTATGGATGGCATTGCTTAACTAATAATACCCTACCTACCTCATGCATAGTTTCTCTCATCATGTATTTATGTCCCAAAAAGGGAAAATGGTCAACTTGCAACACTGTTAACTGGAACAGTAAGGAAGAAATGCTGTTATTGTAATGCTTGCTAATCACCTCCCAAATCACTGTCATGATTTGTGGCAAAGGGGTTGGAAGAGTCACCGACACCCTCTGGAGATAGTACCTGAATGGCATGGTGGTTCTACCAAGCTGCAGATGTGCCTTTGTATGTAATTTTTTTACAGATTTCATTGCCATTGCAGTCAGACCTGTAAATGGGCTCAAAAAGAGTAAATCTCTATATTTGTCAAAACCAGAAGCTGATGGTCCAGATACAACTTTTGACTTAGAAAGCTGTTCAACCATTGACTGCAGGGAGCTTGAAGGGATTGTGCAAGGAAGGGTTTCTCCTCTGTTCCTGTCCCTGTCAGAGACAGGGTTTTGGTTCATCAGACTGACGCTGCAGCATTCCCATAGTTTTATGCTGCTCTGATGCCCACCCCTCGTTTGTGTGTGTGCATACAGGACACGGAAGTCCTTAACACGGCCATTCTGACGGGCAAAACAGTGTCTGTTCCAGTCAAGGTTGTTGCTGTGGAGGAGGATGGGTCCGTGGTCGATGTTTCAGACTCCACTGAGTGCAAATCAGCTGATGAAGACGTCATAAAGGTAAGGCCACCTGCATGATGTGGAGAACGGAATTTTCATCTTTTTCTCCTCCGCCATATTGGGACCTAGCCTACATTTGGGATTTTACATCAACCAGTTGTTTTATAGTCATGGCTGTTTATGTGGTCACAGGTTGTTTCCACTGTACGATGAGAGTGGTCTCCAGAGGTTATGCAGGGTTAACACCTTTCCATAGACAGATGTGGAGCGATTTGTGCTGGTGTGTTCCATACGGGAGAGAGGGCCAGGGATGCTGAAAGAGCAGTCCTTTGCTGGCCAGCCAGTGCTGATGTGAAAGAACTTGTTGTCTGATACATCACACTTGGGAAAAGTCAACTCCCCACACAGGGTTCTTTGTTCTTGTGTGGCTTTGCTGCATCCATCGCTTAATAGTAACAATGCGGGATATTGTAACCGTGTACCAGCAAGGCTTCCTACATGCTTCTGACAGCATCTCCTGCTTTCCAGTCAGGAATTTCTTATAAATAAAGATGTATAACTGTACCAAAATCTGGAGGAGCATAACAGAGAATAGAAAATAACAACCATATCACAAAAATTCTTAAAACAAGATCTGGAAGCTTTTAAACTATTGTGGTTTGGTTTTTGTTGTTTTGTTTTGTTTGGTTGGTTGGTTGGTTTTTTTACATAATACGTTCAACTGGTTCTCCCTCCCTGACATTGAGATGAAAATAGCATTAATGTGACTTTATCAAGACACTGACTGCATGACTTCTGACACTATTGCATGGCTTTCAGCTTTTAGCTCATTATTATTTTTAGGCATAAAAGCTATCAATTGTGTCATGTGTGATTGTATTCCAGACCTGAGCACTTCTTTAAATTCTCTTCAGATTGCATTTGAAACCCACATTCTATACCTGTGTACTTTTAACCTATTATTATAACCTCTTTGTAGGTAAAACTGCAAAGGTCCTAACAGATAGCTTATACTTTGTCAGATAAATGTTCATGTTCTTTAGCTGGCTAAAGACTTGCACACAGAAAAGTTATTTATTTTGAAGATGATATGTTGGAACAAAAAATTCACCTTTTGATGACTCTGAATAAGCTTGTTACAAATTTTTGGAATAAATTACATCTTCTAAAGCAAACAAAATTTCATTGTATTTTAGGTCCAGCAACAAAGAAATTCCTTTGCAGTTAAAGAGCTTATGGAGCAACTGTACTTTTTGTAGATATTTCCTCTTTCTGAGACCTATAGGTGGGTGAAAGATAACATCCATTTGATCCTAGGTAGCTATAGAAAAGGCAAGATGGGTTTGGGCAAAAGCCTTAGGGAACCTCTGCTTCCTTCCAAATTTTTTCATTAAGATTTACCTCCATTTAACATGAAGGCAAATAATTCATAAATAAGATTCAAATTATTGGGTAGAGGCATGCGTGCCATTGTGTCCTCAGAGAAGTTGATAGTTTGGGAATTAGTTATGCAATAACGATACCTAGCACTTTTCAGACCTCAAAGAATTTTGCAAAGGACATGGGTGTAATATTTCCTTTTTATGGAAGTAACTGTTCCAATGTTTAGCCTCAGCCAGTGATGGAATAGGTCTCTCGAGTCTCTAGCCTGTGTTCCAGCTTCTGTATTTTCCCTTATATATCATATGGGGGGAAAAATAATTACGTTTTCTTTTTCTGGAAACCAAATTTCCTTGAAAGTCCTTACCAGAAGAAACATGAACAAATATCTTTAGGACTAACTTAATTGTCAGAGGAACAGACTCTCTTGATAAATTTTGCTATTCTTTTTTTGCTGTGTACCATATGGCTATTATCTGATTAGTGGCTATTATTTATCAGTTGATAAATATGAACAACAAATTGTTCATATTATAAACTCAAGCAGCAAGTTATATATCATCAACATAGTGCTGAAACTGTAAGTTTTTGCACTTCAGAAAACCAGATCCAGATCTAAAAGATGGTGTATATAGACTTTTGTTTCTATTAATTGAGTTTCTAGTATTTCTAGGACTTGCTATAGTTAGAGAATACTGGACTGAACCACATAGGAAAAGATCAGGAAAAAGACTCCCATTCCTCTTCCACTAATAAAGTTAGTAACTGTAGATGTTAGAGAGACGTTGTATTTCAAAACACTGCCTGTCTAAAGTCCATTTAGTTCAATCAGCACTTGTCCCTTTGAATATGGATATGGTTGTCAAAGCTGGGCATGAAGTTGTTCTGGTTCCCAAATTTAAAAGGCCCACTGAAGCTGGCAGCTAAATAAGGCTTGACATGACCTCTGTGATCAGAGACAAGATTTCCAGTTGCAATTGTGGATTTATACACTTCAAGAAAGCAGAGCTCTTGCCCTTTGACCATCTTTTTTGCTTTTTCAAAACAGATTGTATGTCTAGGTGGAATTAGGTCTGCTCCAAAGCACCTTCAAGCTGATGAGTGTCCTCCCATTCCTTTCAGTGATGTGGATAGAGCAGACCAAAACACAGACCAAAATTCTGCACAGATTTCACAATACTTGCACTACAGTTCCCAGGTTGTTTGGGTAGTAAATAAGTTGGTATAATTCAGGTCTTCATTTGACTGCTCTGTGAGATTATTTGTGTATCAAATCACTGACAGAAGAGAATGATTCTGGGACTCTTTCCCAGATATGGTACCTGATTCTCTAATATAGTGACTTAGTGAACAAAACGAAGAGGTCTGAATGCAGTCTTCACTGAGTTCATCTTGCCTCATCCTGGTGATATAAAATGGGAGTAATGTTATTTTTGTGAAAATTGCAGCATATACTTATAATGGATTTCAGTTACAAATTACTGAGAGGTGCTCTCAGCCTGGATGCTGTTCAGGCATAATTTTTTAACTGGAAATATATGTATTGGTTGCAAGATTGAATCCATAACGATTAATTAGCTGAGTTACAATTTAGTACAGGGTTTATGTGCCTATATTTTTTTCAGCAAAATGCATATTCTTTTTACAAGCCCCTTTGGTAAAGTCAATATTGACTTTGCTTCCAAATTTGTGTTGCCTTTTCTATGTAGGTTGTACTGCTAACCCTCTAATAGGAGTTGTTGGGCATTTTGGATGTAATTGCCTAATCTTAAGCTTCTTTTCACTGTTAATTCTGCCTTTATTGTTTCTTTGTAATTGGAGAGATATTCATATTCTTTTGGGCAGAACAGAGTGTGTTTCATTCTTAACCTTTCATTTCTATTTAATAGCTAATGGTTTAATAGACAATTAATGAGACAATTCTTTGATCACTGCTGTAACACCATTATTTTCAATTAAGACACAATAAATTGAAGCTAGTTTAAATAAAAACAGATTTTGGCCCAGGCTATTATGTATTTATACAAAACATGCTTCTCTGGGCAGCTACCTAGATATCACGTTGATATAAATACTACTCTGAGATGATCAACTAGATAGATGATGTACAAGTGATTTATTTGTAGGCAAGAGATATGAATTTTTCCTCTTCTAAGTCATATATTCCCTCAGCCTAACAGCTTAATAGCTTCCCAGCAAGACAATATTTCAGTCCACATTTTTCAAAGCCTACCTAATTAGTGGTAAATATAATGAAACACACCTAATACTTTTCGACCTTGCATTTTCCAACCTTAGCATGACTTGATTCTCAAAGGAGTCTCACAGGTAAACTTGCTCAATTCAGCTACAATCCCTGGTCCCTACAATTGCTGATCCCTACAGTTGGACATAGGTTGTAATACTGACCAACCATTTAAACTTGAACTGATGACCCTCTAAAATGTTTTGATAGAAGCATTGCTGTAAGTCAGTCAAACTCTTATGCTTATTCCATTATTGAAAAAGAACATTTAATACTGTTGGCATTTGAAGGAAAAGATTGGCTTTATTATTAAGGCACTGGAATGCTTCTCAGCATTAATTTCCATATCTCTTGCTGATTTCTTGTGCGACTGTGGGTAAATCACTCATTCCCCTTGGAATCTCGCTTCCTTATCTGCAAACAGGGTGGAGAAATACATCCTTTTCCCAGCCTCAGCCTGACTTGTGTAGTTTCTGAAGCTACAGTTGAATCTGAATGGACAAAATCCTTATCTCCACTGGAGTCTCATTAACTTTAGTGGACTTCTGCCACAGACTCACTTGAAAGACTTCTCTCCCAGTATTCTGATTTTCCTGCAAACCACAGCTAGATAGCATTGTGAAGCTGTAAAGAAAGAAGTGGTGGAAACTTGATAGAATTTATGCATTAATTATTCAGCTGCTCTGGTGATGGGCGACACACTAAGAGGTAAAGGAGCTGTAGGCATGGTGGTGTGAACCTTTATGTATGCTGAACCACGGGACCTCAGTCTTCACTGGTGGGGCAAAAAAAAAGCCTTGAAAAAGATTAAAGCACTTGTACCACAGCAAGGACCTCCTTTGCTCATCTATCCTGCCAGGAAATATAAGCACCGCTGACATTTTGGAGGCCTGTTACGGTGGGTTTCACTTGCTCCCCACTGGCCTTTGAGCCATAGGTAGAAGGAAATAAAGACCAAGATCAGTGACAGAGGGAACACCTTGAGATGGTTTATTACAGAGGGGAGTCTAACCTGAGGGTCTTTGGCACAGTCGATCTCTACAGCTGCTTAGGAGCTCCAAGCAAGGTCTATGCACTCCTTTTTCCTCCCTGTAAAAGTGCCTTTAGAAGCCTGAACCATAGTAATTTCACATGAAGAAAAATTCTGAAAACATTGTAGTTATGTGGTAGTCATAAACATCACCCACGAAGCAGCATCCAGTGAGGAAATTATAATGAGGACAGCTTCTTAGTCCAAATGTTTATCTCAGTAGTGTACAAATGAAAGGGAGACAGCTGCCCAATTAATTCATTCTTAGATTAGTCATATTTTCATGTCCTTTGGAAGTTATGCAGAAATTGACTGATGGTTCAAATTAATCTCTGCAGTAATTCAAATGGCTTCCATGGAATTACACCATGGACTAATTTAGCCTAATTTTTTTGTAACAGAAAG